AAATTAATGTTTTAAAATATTTTACTGTTTTTAAGACACAGTTCTTGGACCTGTAAAGTTGTGACATTCATGACGAACTCTTGGAATCTGACAAGCCTTTGATAGTAGGCATAATTTTGTACACTCTTTTCATTTTCAGGTGTTTGTTAATAATAATTGTTCAATGGAAAACATAGAAACAACTGATCATTTGAGGAGAAAGATCAGTCAAATTTATAAATTGTAAAGCAGTGATGAAACTAGTATACTGATTTTACTTTGTGTGGAATGCTGTTTGTTTCTGAATTGTTTCAAACAGAAGAGTGGAACAGTGACAACATTTTAAAGATTATTTTCAGTTGTGGGCAAGTGTAGGATTTTGAGCGTTGATGCCACACCCTTAGCATCCCACACATGATATCAGTAATAGCTATTCACATTTTTGTTCAGAAACAAAACATACTGGAAATCTGAATGGCCACAGAATGTGTTGCAAACTATTCACTGCATGTATAACAGGGTGGCAAAATTGTGCTTGCCTGTCCCAGCGCTATTTCCCTCTATACTTGCCATAGCATCTCATTGATAGTCTTTAGCACCTACTTTTGAGAGGGAAAGGATTACACATTATATGTTTGCAAATATATTTTGATCTGATGGTTGTTGTATGTAGTTTTTAAATATACTTTGTTTTTAAGTGCATATTTTAAATTGTACCTAAAGTAAAACTGTAATTTCAGCAGCACATATAGTTTGACTATTCAGAAATAGCATTTTTAGTTTTCGGTAACAAACTATGATGGATATTAGAATATTAGGGTTGCCAGCCTCCAGGTGGGACCTGAAGATCTCCCACTTTTACAACTGATCTCCAGCTGACAGAGATCAGCTCCCCTGGAGAAAATGGCTGCTTTGAAGGGTAGACTCTATGGCATTGTACCATGCTGAGGCCCCTCCCCTCCCCAAACCCCACCCTCTCCTGGATCCATCCCCAAAGTCTCCAGGTATTTTCCAACCCAGACCTGGCAACTCTACAGAATATTCCAGAGAATTAGGTAAGGGACATGGATTCTGTTTCACTTTCATTTAAAACTATACTAGAAGAGAAAAGATGGCAATCGTATAAAATCAATACAATAACAACTTGTGACCAGCCACCAGTCTGCATGCACTTTATTGGAGTCTCCAGGAGGCTTGATAAATATCTTGTTTGTGCTGCTTACTTGGGCTGTAAAACAGAAGTGTTGTCAGGCATGACCACAGTTCTTGGCTTGTGGGCTGAATTTGGTTTGGTTGGTAATACTTATGCAGGCTTACTGCAGACTTACTTGACCCTCAGGCCTTTCTAGGAGAACCAGATTTAAATATGGTTCACTAATGGGTATTTTTAGTTAGCATTTAGTTTCCTTCCAAGTTAAAGCATTCAGGGTTGAAACATATCTGAAATATCAGTGTTTTAAAAGTTGAAGTGACACAGAAAATAAAATTGTTTGGGTTTGCATAGTTATGCACCACCTCAGCCTTGTAAATGCAGGCCTGGTTTGCACATGCAGGAGAATAAGGTGGTAGAATGTTGAAGTGTCAGTATGGACTGCACCATCAAGACTACTGGTGATGGATTTCAGTTCTGTATGTCCCTCCACATTAAAAAAAAATTCCATGCAAATAGAAAATAAGTACAGCATGAAGAAAGCTTTCTATATTGCTTGCTGTGTCAATTTTCTATGTGCAGAGTTTTTAACACAGGAGAATATTCCAAAATGTATTCCTTCACCCACAGTCTGACATGGTGCAGTTCATTGTACCACCTCAGCATTTTACTAGTTAATCTGCTTGCATGTGTAAAGCAGGCCTCAGAGGTGGCTTCTTCTGTTACTAATAGGGACAATGGAGTGGAGAAGCTTTGTGGCGAGGGGGGAGGGGATTTAACTTTTTCCTCACATACCAATTTTTCTCTGCTGCCTAGCTGTGTGTGGCAAGCCTATGCTTGTTTATTTAGGAGACTTCTATGCCACCTCAATGTAACTTACAAAGTTAAAATGTAATAAAAACATAAAACACCCTAAAAATAATAAGCAATCAATAAACCATTAAAAACTCAGCCAGAAAATGCAAACAACATAAAACATTTAGTGGGCTCAAAATGGACTCTAAAAGCAATTTTAAAAGAGCAACCTCTTAATTAAAACCGTTGATAAATATTTTCCCCTGGTGTCTAAAAGTATAGGCTAAATGCCAGGCAAGCCTCCAGAGGAAGGGCATTCCACAGACAAAGTGTTACTACTGAAAAAAATGCTGCTTCTGGTTGCCACCCACTTTGCCTCTGATAGCAGATGCACAGAGCTAATAAGAAGGTTCTTAACTAGTTGGCTGGGCAATATGGGAGGAAGTGGTTTTTCAAGTCCCCAAGCCTTTTAGGGTCTTAAAGGCACTTTGAATTGTGCCCATAAGTAAATGGGCAACCGCTACAAATTTTTCAGGACATGGGTGATAGGAATCTCATCCCCGAAGGTAGCCTAGTTACAACAGTTTGAATCAGCTGGTTTCTGGACTGTTTTCAAAGGCAGTCCTGTATAGCATGCAATACAGTAATCTAACCTGAATGTGGTCAAAGCATGGATCACTGTGATCAGATCATGCTTTTCATGAATGGTTGTAGCTGGTTGTGTCAGTTGAAGTACTACATTCTATGGAAGCACCATGGAACAGACCTGAGACTCCAAATGTAGGCTAGGATCCAGCAGTACCACCAAGATACTATTCTGTCTGCTCAGGGAGAATACAGCCCTCTTCAGGACAGACAGACTCCGCTATTCTTGAGCAGTTTTATTGACCACCAGGACCTCAGGCTTGTGAGAAGAAGATAGGGGCTACACCCCATCTCATTGTCAGGTTGACAGGTGCCCCGCCCCATGATGTAGGGCTGCTGGGTGGGCGGCAAGAGGGGCAGCCACAGCCTCTCTCGCCTGTCCCTGTGGCCAGCCTGGGGTACAGAGGAAGGTGGGTCCATGCATGGGGGTCCCCTGGCTCTGTCTTTTTAGAAACGCCGTCTAAGCTTAGGCTTTGGCGTTTACAGAGTCTGTGAATAGTAGAACTTTTCCCTTTGCAGCGGCAAACAAACTGCTTTTGGCTCTGGGTCTGCCTGGGAGTTACAGAGGGCATGTCTGTGAGGAGGAGGGGGCTCTCTCTCTCTGGGTGGGAGGCTCTCTGGAGCCATCCACGAGACCCCTGAGGGGCAGTCTGCGCTAAGACAGAGCTCTCTCTCAGGGGGGGCATCTCCCGGGGGGGCCAAGAGACCCTGGACAGTCTGCACTAAGCATGGCACACCTCTAAGACAATTGCCACATACAGCACTCATTCACAGTAAAAAGCACCTTTCACAGTTTTCAGAAAACCCCCAGCCACAAAAAGACCACCCTTTGCCCCCAAAACACGTTTCAAAGCATCACGCCACCCAGGGGGGCGGGGCAGCCTGTGGCTGCCCCTCTTGCCGCCCTCCCAGCACCCCTACGTCATGGGACGGGGCACCTGTCAACCTGACGATGAGATGGGGTGTAGCCCCTATCTTCTTCTCTTGTGTGGACTGAGCTTTGGCTTATTGGCCCTCATCAACCCAGAAACTTCTCCAGCTGAGCAACCATTTCCCACTCAGGCACCTTGCTCAAAAAAGGGATGTTGGCCACCTGACATTTAGGAAAGGGGACACTCTACAGGTCAACTAGGACTGCAACTGGAGCACCAGCCTTGTTGTCTAGAAACCTAAGTATAATAGATTCACATAAATTATTTAGTGTTTCCCCAGTTGAATATAGTCTTTGAAAGGTATAGAATTGCTGAACTGACTAAAATTTCTAAGCTTCCCACTTTAAAAAAATCTACATTCACAGCTCAGGGATGAATATAGTTGTAGGCAGCAGTTCTACAACTTCTTATAAGCCCAGATTCCCAAATCTCCATTTTAAAATTTTCAAAATATTTTGTTGTCTGATAACTTCTGATGTACAAAATTAGAGTTAAATGAGTGACATGGGCATCGATTTAAATGAAAATGAATATGGGCAAGCGTAAAGTCAGACAGCAACTAGATACAAATTTTATAAATAACTTCAGTGTGATTTGATATTTTGCTTTTCATATAGTATAGTTCATAAATGCAGATATGGATTTTGATAGAAAATTACACAGCTTATTTTCAAAGAACTGTATTTATTTGATTACTTTCATTACTGTTTCCCCCACTGGAGAAGAGAGGTAGATAATTAGAAATCTGCACTGTCATCAGTTACATTTCTCTTTTAAATAATCTTCTTAGTGGTGTCTGTCTTTTATATGCAAAAGCCTCTTCTTTCATCAGTTCTGGAATGTGGTGGTATTGGATTGTGCCGATTAAAGTTTAGCGTTACTAAATCAAATTAGCTGTTGTGTCACCTGACTAGAGTGGGTACTACTCATGTGATGCAGTTTCCTTTGGTGTAAATACTGTGAACTCAAACAAGGTAGATGGCCTTTTAAGACGATCCTAAGCATCTCACAGCATGGTTCAGGTACTGTGGCACAAAAGAGATTGCTTCATTTTCTTTCTTTGCTCATGCCAGAATGGGATGAGCTTTCAAAATCTAGTATCTTCAGGCCAGAAGCCAACAACTGGAAAGCACATTTCATCCTGCTGGTTCAGTAACTGAAAGGCTGATTTTAATTCTGTCTTGGACCCAGATCCCATATGTTTGTACCCTGTGGCCCTGGATCAACATTCTTTCACACATGATCTATATTATACCATTTTCTGTGTTGTTTCACTAGTACTGGTTGAACCAGTTCTTCCAGAGTCTTTATTTGCTAGTGGTGTGAGTCTTAAGGCTGAAGAATGCTTTCTTTTAAATTGTATTTTCTGTAGAAAAATATATGCACTAGTGTAACTGTTAGATACGAATCTAATTCAGTATGACCAGAGCTAGTACGCAATCTGCTGTGGAAAATGGGCAGTTCCCTGTACATAACTCATGTTTTCTGTCCCACTGCAGATGCTATGGATTATGGCCATGTTGTACAAATAATGGATGCTATTATGGAGATGGATCTTCCAGGGAGTCAACCCAGAGGGAAACAGAAAGTATAGTTTAAAAGGATCCTTGGTGAGTAAGGCTGCTAGAATGAAATAAATGCACTCTTATTTTTTTCATGATCATGGTAGAATCCCCAGGTAGCTCAAGTTAGCCAAAAATTCACATCTGATTTTAATAGAAGTAGAAAATCAGAAATGTTGATCTTGGAAATGTATCTTCAGAATGAGCCAGATCTTTACATATTATCAAATGGAATGTATCCCATTAAATTCTCCGTTAGGTTATGTTGCAGAGTTCTCATACATTGAACTCTGTCTTATTTTATTGCTTTCTGTATATTTTAAGAATCATCTTACATAATTCTCCTAGACAACAAAGATCATAGAAGGTAGACCTTTTGCTTCTATGTCCCATTGCAGAGAACAAAAAAGGTGCCTTGAGAGTTAGGTTCTGAGACTGTTCCTGGATTTGTGGTACTACTGTGTATAGTTACAACAAGTGTTTAAAAAATTTATTCTCATAGTTATATGAAACAGGCCACTGTGAACTAAAGAAGTGCAACTCAGTCATGCTTCCTTTTGTATCAGACAACAGTTTTTAATACTAGAAAAAGGGAGGTAATGGGCAATGTCTTAGGACAAGGGATGCTTATTATAATTGTATCTATAGCTATTGAACCCCAATCCTTTTTTAACTGGAAGAAGCAAAAGATACTGCACTACGATTGCCAGGTCGAACTTGGGAATTATCTGAAGACTTTGGGGGTGGATCCAGGAGACTAAGGTGGAGCCAGGAGACTTTGGGGGTGGAGTCAGGAGAAAGGATGTGAAATCACTTTTGTGATGTCACATCACATGATGTCACTTCCAGATCAAAGGTCAAGTGATGCCCCTTCCCAAACCCCTCCCCTTCTGGGGTCACTTCCAGCACACTGCACCAAACCCCCACCTCTTCCCGTAATGTCACTTTCTGGGCACTTCCCCCCCAAACCCGCCTCTTCCTCTGAAGTCACTTCCTTCTTTCAAAATTCAAATTTAAATAACACAAATTTAAATGCCACAAGGGGGGCTGTCCTCCAGATGGTAAATCAGGCCATTTAGTCCAACCCCCTGCTCAGTGCAGGATCAGCCTAGAGCATCCCTGACAAGTGTTTGTCCAGACGCTGCTGAAAGACTACCAGTGAGGGGGAACTCACCGCCCCCATAGGTAGCTGATTCCACTGTTGCACAACTCAGGCAGTAGGTGATGTGAAAGATCTCTGCCTGAGACCTTGGAGAGCCACTGCCAGTCTGTGTAGGCAATACTGACCTCAATGGACTGATGGTCTGATTCAGGAGAAAGACAGCTGTATGTGTTAGCACAGGGCGAAGTGGTCAGCAATTCCCCTTTGCTTGTAGAAAACAGGGCATTAATGCTTTTATATTCTAGAAATCTGACAAAGGAGTACAATCTAATATGCTATCGATGTGATAAATGATACTTTATGGTGTTACAGCAACAAAAAAAGACCATCTAGGAAAAATATTTTTTCTATGACTTCAAGGTTTCCAAAACTGTTACATCTCTAACAAGATGCCAACTATTTCCCAATATACACTCAAGCAACATACTCACAGGACCTAATGACAGTATTGTCTCCGTATCATTCATTCATTTTCCAAAGTAATATATCCCATAAGGAATCAACACAATGCCTTTCTGCTATCTACCTTGGACAAATAGGTCGCTGCCTATGGAAAATAATAAATGGATGCAAATCTGACATTAGAAATCATGATATTCACCAATGAGTGGGGGAACGTTTCAGTCTTCCTCAACAAAGCACTGCTACCATGAAATCTGCCATCCTTCAATAAAATAACTTCAAAGAGAGACTCCAATGTGAAACTCTTGAAGCAGAATTCATTAAGAAGTTTCATAGTATCTGGCCAGGGTCAGCCATCAAATGAGAGTGGAACAGAGAGAAGGGAAGGAAAGGACTGCAGGAATATGATGAGAAAGAGAGTGTGATTGAACAGAGTGGATAATCCTGGCCTTAACAGGAGATCAGAGACATGTTGCTGAAGATTCTTTGAATAATGAGATGTAGCAGGATAGAAGGAAATTGCAGAGCAGAAATTTGGAAGGGTCACGATCTGTCTACACATGCTGAATACTATACTTTCAATCCATTTTCAATGCACTTTAACAATAACTTGCAAGTGGATTTTGCCATTTCAGTAAAATCCAGTTGTGAAGTGCATTGAAAGTACCGTATTTTTTGGACCATAAGACTCACTTTTTCTTCCAAAAAAAGTGGGAGGAAAAGTGAGTGCGTCTTATGGACCGAAGGTTTAGAATATTTTTTCCCCTGTTTTCCTCCTTTAAAAACTAGGTGCGTCTTAAGGTCAGGTGCGTCTTATGGTCCGAAAAATACGGTACATTGTTCAGTATGTGTGAAAGCAGTAAATGCCTCAAAAGTATTCAGCTGCTTGAAGAGAAATAGCCAGCAGAGGAACATTATATCAGAAGACTGGGTAAAAAATGCATCAAATATGGGGATAAGCTTAAGGCAGAAACCACGAAGTCCAAAGAGGAGACAGAAGAGGGGACCAAACTCATGGAAAACCCACTGAAACCAGTGGCAAAGGACATGGTGTGTGTGTTGGTAGAACACAATGCTGGAAAAAATCCAGGATGTGAATTATCATTACAATAGAGCAATATTCGAAATGGTGCAGATCCAGTTGGAGCAGAGAAGTCACACAGAGATGTGTTCTCAGGGAAAGTAAAAAACTGGTGGTGGAGGAGGACTAAACAGTCCTGAGCTTTGAAGGAGCAGATTAGAGAATGAAAGTTGGAATGAGGTAGCATGGCTGATACTGAACTCTCAAAATGAGTAATTAAAGTTTGGGAGGGGGGAAGAAAAGAAGCTATGGAACTGTAACCGGGCGGGGAGGTGGTGAACTTCGAAAGTCCAGAAGTTGGAGGAGTAAACAGGATTGCCAACCTCCAGGTGGGACCTGGAGATCTCCCAGAATTAGAACCGATCTCCAAGTGACAGAGATCAGTTCCCCTGGAGGAAATTGATGCTTTGGAGGATTGACTCTTTGGCATTATATACCATTGAAGTCTCACCCCTTCCCCAAACCCCTCTCTCCCCAGGCTCTACCCCCCAAATCTCCAAGTATCTCCAACCAGAGCTGGCAACTCTGGGAAGCCCTGGCAGACCCTGGAAAGGCAGAGATGCAACCCACTGCCTCCAAGGACTAGATATAGGGGGCAGAGAAGGAGAGATTTCCAAAAAGAAAGGGGGAGAAGGGTGGTTGCTCCAAAGCCAAGAACAGTCCAGGATCAAGCAGCCATTCCAAAGAAGTGCTGAAGGGGAAAGGAGAGTGATGTGGGGGGTGAGGGGGAGGTAAGCTTCTCTGGCAGCAAGGGGCCTGACCACCACCCCCATCTCCGAGGGCAAACTAAGTGACCCCCCCTGCCATCACTACCACCCCAAGAGCATGGCCGTAGGTCAGCTCACACTCTCCCCCACTCATCCCTGCATCCTCCTCCCCCCAGAAGCAAAACACAGCTTGGACATGCCCCCAATGGTGAAGTGAAGCTCGCATCCACCCACGAAGGCTCTGAAAACTGACAGCAAAGCAAAGCATTAGCAGCCCACCCGCCTACTCCACCCACCCGTAGAGCATGGCCACAGATCGACTGGCTCCTAGTCCCCTGGCCCCAACAAAGCTACCCAGTGGCAAGCGGCCCGACTGCCCCCCCCAACCCTGATGGGTCAGCAAACTAAGCAAAGTGCAGGCCTTGGCAATCCCCTATGCCCGCCCGGAGTCCCAGCTCTTCTTGGCAATGGTAAGTGCCTGACTGCCTGCACTCACCAAGGCAATGACAGCTCCCAAAAGTGTGGCAGCCAGTATGTGCTGCTGCCACATGGCCCGGGTGGCAGGAATGGTCGCCCAGCGCTGCTGCTGCTCACCTCGGCCTGTGGGCTTGGGTCGACTCAGAAGGAGAGATGCAGCAGCAACCAGCAAGCAGATTGCCCATGGCTCACCAAATGAGGGTTGCTGGGAGTGAGTGAAACTATGGAAATGAGGTGAGCAATGGAGCCCATCCTTGGAGCCAGAAGGTGCCTGCTGGCGGCCAGTCAGAGACCTGTGCGGTGCATTGGCTGAGGGCTGCGCTGGTGGGGAAAATCAAGGATGTGAGCTAGTGCACTGTAAGGGGAACTTAGCGGCATGGTTCCTTGGAGGCCTCCGGCTGTGGCATTCTGGCGCTCTAGCCTTCTTCTCTATGGCTTCCGCCATTTTGTACCCCGCTGGCCAATTCTGGAAAAACAGGGCTGGGGATCTCAAATCTTGGAATTCCCCACTTCCAGCGGGAGGCTGGCAACCCTGTATTGCACAGGAAAGTTTTTGACGTTTCAGCATCTCAGTGGCTAGTCAAAATCAGCCTGCATATCAGTTTTGGTTGAAACACTAGATAAAAAAGGCATGACAAAAACAAGTTGTATGAGAACCTTAAAATGCTAAGCCCTTCCAGAGGAGACGTTGTTGGCATTGACAGTATAATAAGGGAACAGTGTAATGAAGCTACTTGGGTGACGTTGTTGAAAGCGGGCAGCAATATCCATTGCCAGCTACATTGTATGACATGACATTATTCATGTTAGCATTTATGGCTGCTTATTTAAAGAATATTCTCAATGCTTTCAGCTGTATTCACAACAGGACCCACAATCCTTCTGGCTACTCAACAGCAAGATGCCTTCCAAGTATTGATTAGTCTTGTGGAAGTTAATTCTTATGAGGGAACTTTCCTTCAGACGAATTACAGTCTCAGATTTAACAGAAACCTCTAACAATACTCTTTGTAGTTTAAAATAGTACTTGTACTTCTACAGAAGCCTAACTTATTCATAACCTTTGTGAAAATAAGCTAGGTCCAGAATATTTGCTTTCTATTGAGATGCGAATGAAAATAGCAAGACGTACACAGAAGAGTTTTTATCAACCGATTTATCTCGGAGAACAAGCCGTCAGTCCTATAAATAGTTACTTTTCTAAATGGGAACCAGTGCA